TATCATATCACAATGAATTGTTAGTTTTTTCCCATGACACGTATAAAAATATATGAATGTGTTTACAAAATGTTATCTAAATACGAGAGGGAACCCCCTGATGCGGCACATAAGTCAGAAATCAGTATAAAACTGTGTGCCTATGTGAGTAAAAAATTTGATAAAACAATAAAAAAATTTTAAGTATGGTTGGGTGTGGTAATGTGATTGAATTATACATTTGGATTTTTGTGTGTTCCTTTCAACTGAGACTTTCCTGTATTTTTCTCTACTCACAAGTTCACTTTGTATCAGAAAGTTACTGATCACCACCCAACGCAAAAGACACCCAGGGCACTGCAGGGGCAGAGCAGCACCTCGGCCCAGCCTGGCAGGAAAAGCTTCATGGAAGAAGTGACACATGAGTTTTCTAGTCTCCAAATATGTACTTTCTCCTTTTTGCTTGATTACCGTTCCTAAGCCAGGTCTACAGAAAGAAAAAGGGTTGGACCAAGGGACCAGAAATTTATACTGTATTATAATGAGAGCTTTTTGTATAACAAAATTGCCATAGATTAGTAGCCATTAACCCATTTTTCCCAGACAAGAAATAATTAAACAGAATACGTACTTGCTCCTTTTCAAACTGAATCATTTTCCTGAAAAAATTGACAGAAAACGGACGGCTTTCCTGTAGACTAAAAAGGAATGGCAAGACGTTACACTGACAGAAGCCTCTTACATCTCCTAATTACAAATACCCAGCCAGTGCCCCTCCAACACATTTAATGAAGACTTGTCTGCAACTCAAAGAAAGGATCTGACCTGTGGCGGCTCATGCCTATAATCCCAGCACTCTGGAAGGACAAAACAGCTGGATTACGTGAGCTCAGGAGTTGGAAACCAGCCTGAGCGAGAGTGACACCCCATCTGTACTAAAAATAGAAAAACTAGACAGGTGGGCATTGTGGTAGGCACCTGTAGTCCCATCCACTTAGGAGGCTGAGGCAAGAGAATCGCCTAAACCCAAGCGTTTGAGGTTACGGTGAGCTATGACACTACAGCACTCTACTCAGGATGACAGAGTGAGACTTTTTTTGACTCTGTTTCCAAAAAAAAAAAAAGAAAGAAAAGAACACGTCCAATCATTAATGACTAACCATTTACCATTAATAAACTCTTTCCTATCTTGTTTTTATACTGCACTCTTCTTTCTTTTAGTGTCTTAGATTCTCTTGCTACATTTCAAAGTCTTTTGGAGACCAATAATTCCATTTCTAAGAATATATTCTATAGAAATAATTTCTAAATGGATAAATATTTTTGCAGAAATGTTCATCACAGCAGTATTACTGTGGCCAAATAAATGATGGTACATCCACAGGGTGGTCTATCATTCAGCTATTTTTAATAAATGATGTTTATGAAGAACTTCCACTAAATGGAAAACAAGGTCAACCTAATGTTTATCAAAAAAAGTGGTATTCAAAATTGAGATTACAGTATAATCTCAACCACACAAAAATTAAACTGTAAAATGATATTTTAACAGTGGGTTTTCCCTAGTAGATGGGATTATAATGTATATTTATGGTTATCTTCTCCCCTTATAATAGGTATAAACTGCTTTTATTATTCAAAAAATAAAGAGGAAAAAAAGTGACTTTTTAAAAAATAAAAGACAAGGTTTCACTATGTTGCCCAGGCTGGATTCAAACTCCTAGGCTCAAACAATCTTCCCACCTCAGCCTCCCCAGTAGCTGGGACTACAGTTGCCTCACTTTGGAATGTTACATTTTGAAAATGTCTCTTTCTAACCTGAGCAACGTAGTGAAGCCATCTCTACAAAAAATTTCAAAAATTAACCAGGCATGATGGCATGCACCTAGAGTTCAGCTACTCAGAAGACTAAAGGGGGAAGACCTGCGTGAGCCTAGAAGGTCATGGTCACAGTGAGTTATGATTGTACAACTGCAGCCTGAACAACAGTGCAAGACCCTGCCTTAAAAGAAAGAAAAAGTCTCTTGGATTACTTCCTCAGATATTATTGGTATTTGTGACTAAAAATAATCTGGGTATCAAGGGCTAAATATGGGGTGGGTGGAGGAAGTAGTAACAACTATGAACGTTTGTTAGTACCTTTTAAATACAGCTCTGGCCTTTTTGTAGCCACCACTTCGATAAGCCCAATCCAGGTACCTATCCTTCAGAGTTACTGAGTCAGCACCTGTGACAGCTAAGATAGCTTTCTACAATTAAAAAGAAAAAAAGAAAAGAAACTATGTGAAGAAATTCATAAGTATCAAGCAATTTTTCCCTGAACTACCCAAGCCACTCAATGGTGCTTTAGGAGCACCTGCTGAAGAAACCCTCCCCCGCCCACCCCAAGCTAGCCGATGACTGGACCCATCTGCCCACACCACAAGACCTAGAAGCCTCTACCTTAAAGATTGCCTCAGTGTCTTCTTGGCTTTTGGTACCTTCACTCCATTCTGCCCAAGAAATCCACAAAGGCAGACAAACCTGCTCACAATTAAAAAAAAAGTCAGACAACGGTATATAACAAAATGCCATACATACTTTGTAATATGCAAAACATATGTATCAATAAAAATTTGTTAGAAAATGATGGTTTAGAGTTCTGTTCTGAAAACTAATCACTATAAAGGCAGGTTTCTCCTACAATAATCCATATGTAAAATATGGATTCGTTCCTAGTCTGTCCTCATCGTCATAATTCTCATGATCCAGGAGAAATGGCATACCAGGACACAGCCTCTTGACCAAGTCACCCAGAGCAACATTTGCCTGTGAATTTTACTTCCCTTCCATTGGGGAATACTGCCTGTGCTAATTATCATCAATCATCTTTAATTATGCAATTAACAGCCACAGCTAGTCAGACCCACAGCTACCCAGGTCATGACTCTGCTGTCTAGAATCTATAGCACAAAAACTAATCTAGGCTGAATTATCTGATCTTCGCTCATGTCTCAGAAACATACACAAATGAGCCCCAAAATAGGTTTTCTTCCCACTTTATCTTCTGGAATACATTGTTCCTACTAATATAAAAGATTCACTGCAAAGCCTTAAGATTTAGACCTTAAAACTTTAAGGCATATATTTAAAAGTTATGCTTATGTTTGCTTTTGGAAGCAAGTCAGAATAATATTTTCTTAGTACCTCTCACTTATAAGATAGCTAAATTGAATAGGAAGGTTTATATAATTTAGTCAATTTTCTGTTTTTTTTTTTTTTTGAGACAAAGTCTCCCTCTGTCACTCTGGGTAGAATGCCGTGGCATTATCATAGCTCACAGCAACCTCAAACTCTTAGGCTCAACTGATCCTCCTGCCTCAGCCTCCTGAGTAGTTGTGACTATAGGTACCCACCACAACACCAAGCTAGTTTTTCTATTTTTTTAGTAGAGACAGGGTCTCACTCTTACTCAGGCTGGTCTTGAACTCTTGAGCTCAAGCAATCTACCCACCTCAGCCTCCCAAAGTGCTAGGATTATAGGGATGAGCCACCACACCCAGCAATTTAGTAAATTTTCACATAAAGGGTTAAAAATAAGCTATTAAATAGCATGTTATCTGGGCACAGTCACTCACATCTATAATCCTAGCAGTCTGGGAAGCCAAGGCGGTTAGACTGCCTGAGCTCACAGGTTCGAGACCAGCCTGAACAAGAGCAAGACCCCATCTCTAGAAAAAAAAATAGCCAGGCATTGTGGTTGGCACCTATAGTCCCAGCTACTGAGAGGCTGAGGCAAGAAAATTGCTTGAGTCCAAGAGTTTGAGGTTGCTGTGAGCTATGACACCACAGTACTCTACCCACAGTGACAGTCTAAGACTGTCTCAAAAATAAACAAATGGCATGTTACACATTCGAAGAGGTGTAAGAATATTAATTATTTTTTTAAATGTAAATTCTGCTCCTGACCTTTAAACCACCACCACTTATACTAACAAATGACACTCTAAGGTTGGCTTTCATCCAAGTATATTCCATATGCGCTTTGGCTGAAGTCTTAAAAGATTTCTCCTAAAGAAAGAAAAACAAAAGACCCAACTTTCAGACCTGGGGTTTCAGGTGCACAAAGGCTTCTTCAAAATGCATGGCTATGTCAGGGCTCTTTGAGTCAATGAGCACCTGAAGCTTCATCTGCCACACTGCTGCGGAGTCTTTAAACAATTCAGTCCCAGCTACTGCCACCTCCAGAGCTTCCCTAAAGAAGTTATGGTGCAACAACAACTCAATCTAGATAAAACAAAGGATTATTGAAAAATTAATTACTGAAGCCTAAATTACCTATGTAAATGGTAATTAGACCACATTTGAGACAGTAATTTCAACAGCATTTCCACTAAAGCTTTACCATGGCAGCTAAACAGACACAAAGTGAATAATCTGAAATTCCTCCTCCTCCTCTGTGTGCTCCTATGCACAGGGGCTAACTAAAGACAGGGACAATAAACGCTGAGGTGGGAGGATCATTTGAGGCCAGGAATTTGAGGCCACAGAGAACTATGATTATGCCTGTGAAAAAGTAATTGCACTCAGCCTAGACAATATAGTAAGATCCTGTTTCCAAAAAAAATTTTTTTAATCATAGTTATGTGCTAAGGAAGTCTAAAGCTAAGATTTACAGCAGGAAACGCATCAGGTGAAAGCAGAGTTCCCAGGAAAAGAAAAGGCTCTGTGGGCAGGGCCTGTGGCTCAAAGGAGTAAGGCGCCTGCCCCATATACCAGAGGTGGCGGGTTCAAACCCAGCCCCGGGCCAAAAACTGCAAAAAAAATAAAGAAAAGGCTCTGCCAACCAGCACGTGCAAAAGGCTAAAAAAGATGAGAGACAGGTTGGATGTGAATGGAACCCCAAGTTTAGAATGGCTGGAGGTTAGGAGGCAAACCAGAGAATTGGAAGATGAAGCTGAAATACAGGCAAGGGCCAAGTTAAGGAGCTTGAGCAGCTTTATCCAAAGGACAATGGGAAGCCACAGAACAACCTACTAATTTTGAAAGATTCTTCTGTGAAAAATAATCTAGAGAAAGGACTGATGTAGAATCAATATGTTGACAGACTTCCATTAAAGCCAAGCTCAGCAAATAAGCAATGACATGGTGAGCTTAGGAAGGGCAACATCAAAGATTTGAGGAGTACAGGATATTTGAAATAGGCAGAGTGCTGGCCAGGCGCAGGGGCTCACACCTGTAATCCTAGCACTCTGTGAGGATCACCGGAGCTCAGAAATTCGAGACCAGTCTGAGCAAGAGCAAAACCCTGTCTCTATTAAAAATAAAAAATTAGCCAAGCATTGTGGCAGGCACCTGTAGTCCCAGCTACTTGGGAGGCTGAGGCAGGAGGACTACTTGACCCCAAGAGTTTGAGGTTTCCGCGGTGAGCTAAGATGCCACAGCTCTCTACTGAGGGTGAGACCAAATGAGACTCTGTCAAAAAAAAAAAAAGAAAGAAAAGAAAAAAGAGAAAGAAGTAGCCGGAGTGAAGAATGAAAGAAAGATGATAATGGAAAGAGAGGAAGATAGCCAAGGCAATACTCAAAACCTATGGGAATTTATACTGTATGACTGACTTGCCAGCATTCCACAACTCATGCAATGGCAACTTCAATCATACAGGCCTGAGGTTTCCCAAATAGATACCATAATACAGTGGGCTATTATATAGTACCTGTGTTATGTAGATGTATTTCGAAAGTATGTTGAAAATGTTGATGCAAAAACAGTAGAATACAAAATTACGAGACATTAATTGCAATTACATAAAAATGATATGGATCAAAAGAGACAAGAGTCATACAAATAAAAAGCACTCGACAAATAATAAAGATTTTTGTTCTTTTTTCCCCAATAAAGGTATTTAAATACATTAACACATTCACTATATTATGTAATGCTCTCAGCAATTTTGTGAGCTGATAAAAACAAAAAGGATCACTATCTACTATTTTAAAATCCAGTAAACAAAGGAAGAGAAGCACACTGGTTTGTCCACGTTAACCTAGATATTAAGTGGCCAGACCTGGTCTAGAACTGTGTATTCCCACAGCACATTATTCTGGTCTCTGCACCAATCTTTACCTACACCATGGATACCGATGATTCAATGTTTCTTACTCCAATGTCAGCTTCTGAAACACATCTACTTTGTCTTTAATGTATTGATGGCTAATCTGGGACAGGCATATGTTCAGAAAGGGATGTTCAGTAAAACAGAAATGAGTGAACAAACAAAATACACCCAAATAGTGATGCTTTGTTATAGGCGCTTTACACTATTTCCCCCTTCACTACTAGTATGAACTTCATTTTTAGCATACACGAAACACTGGTAGCCAAATGTAAACACTCTACATATCAAACTTCCCAATGGTCTTAGTCATAAAACTGTATGTATTTAAATCACATGACTCCGGCACAAAACTGGAATAAACTATATGTAACTGGCAGGGAATGTATTCCCTATGTCCTTACCCACTGCTTATATTGCAATTCTGGAAGAAGCTTGAGTTCATGGGCCTTCCTGAATGCAGTCATGGTTCTTTCCAGCCTCTGAAAATAGAAAAATCTCTCAGTTCATTACAAAAATGTCACTTTGGCCTGTGACACCAACAAAAGCAGTTTTACAATTTCTGAGAACTCAGAGATGGGACTGAGTTGCTCCCGCATATTTCATTTATGAATAAATATTCCAGGCAGAAGCACAAAACAGAGCCCAGAAGGAAGAGAGTTCCTTCAGACCATCAGAATGACAGGTCACCCAGAAAGAAAGAGTAGTTAAACATGCAGTGTGTAGAAGCTGTCTCAGACCCCAAAAGAGCTGTGCTTCTGATCTCCTCTCAAAAGAAAGTCACTTTCTAGTCAGCCATTGTAACCATGTAACCTGTCCTCACCTTCCCTCTGAGGAGCTTACTATTTGTCTTCTTAGCAAATCTTTCCAAGCAAAAGTTGATGTAGCACTTCCACATGGTCTCTGGAAAAGTCAGAAGGATTGCATTGATCAGATCACCAATTCTCTTAGTTCAACAATCATTATGTCACTTTTCTTCAAAGGGAAAATTCCTCTGAAGAAGAGTTTACATTTGCTGGATGAAAAAGGCATTATTCTGATTACAGCCAAACATCTCAAACATTGGGGGAAAACAAAAGAGTAAAAGTATAAATATAAAATTAAAAGCCCTGTCCAGATTATATCTCCCTTCAGCCTTCATTCCCCAATACTATAAAATAAAAATTAAATCTCTATCAACAGATAATTAAGGAATTATAATTTTAAAATCTTCTGAATTGGCTCGGCGCCTATAGCTCAACCGGCTAAGGCGCCAGCCACGTACACCTAAGGTGGCGGGTTCGAATCCCCAGCCCGGACCCGCCAAACAACAATGACGGCTGCAACCAAAAAATAGCCGGGCGTTGTGGCGGGCGCCTGTGGTCCCAGCTACTTGGGAGGCGGAGGCAGGAGACTCACTGGAGCCCAGGAGTTGGAGGTTGCTGTGAGCTGTAATGCCACGGCACTCTACCCAGGGGGACAGCTTGAGGCTCTGTCTCAAAAAAAAAAAAAAAAAAAAAAATCTTCTGAATTATTGTTTCCTAAGTATCATTTCCCCCCAAATAAATGAACCTAAATACCTCTACTACTGAGGAAGTTCACAGAAGCTCCAACTTTCACAATCAGAGAGAACAAGTTGGAAAGCAACACACATTGTAAACTGCACTACAGAGAGGTCCTTGATATTGATTTTGGAACAGGAACTTCATTTTCCCACTCATGGATACTACTACTTCTACATCACACTATGGTTTGGTGAAACTCACCAGTTGGCAGAGTCTTCACTGCCTCTTCAAACACGGCACAGCACCTCTCCTCCTTCCGGGCCACCTGCAGTGCTTTGGCTTGCTTCGTTGGAGGCTGCTCATCTGGTTGTGACTCCATCTCTAATTCCCGTCTTGCCACATAATCCCAAGTGAGAGGATCATCTGTGTGTAGAGCCTGAAGACTGAAAAATACAGCTTACTGGAATGTACCATACAACAAGAAACTAATTCAGAATATCCAACAGATCCTCATATAGCGATGAGTAAAAAGAGAAAAAAAGAAAGAAAAACAGACATCCCATTAGCAACAACAGGACAAATGCCGGGAGCAGTGGTTCACACCTGTAATCCCAGCACTCTGGGAGGCTGAGGTGGGCGGACTGCCTGAGATCGGGAGTTTGAGACCAGCCTGAGCAAGAGTGAGACCCTGTCTCTAAAAACAGCCGGGTATTGTGGAGGTGCCCATAGTCCCAGCTACTCAGGAGGCTGAGGCAAGAGAATCATTTGAGCCCAGGAGTTTGAGGTTGCTGTGGGCCGTGACACCATAGCACTCTACCTAGGGTGACATACTAAGACTCTGTCTCAAAAAAAAAAAAAAAAACCACAGTACCGTAAGAGCCATTTCCCAACAGGCTCTCTAGAAAACCTCCATCACTATATACATTATGTCAATGAACCAGAGTGGTCACACATTTATTGTGTTTCAAGATGTTTTAGACATCGTTCACAAACATTCACTTTTACGTTAGCTCTCAAAGTCAAATCAGCAGTTACCTACAACAATGTGAGTCCCCCATGAGTCCTAGAGAAACACATTATATCTGACCTCTTGATTTTCTAACAAAAGCAGAGAAACAGCACAGCCTACTTATCTACCCAAACCTGGCAGATACCAGAGAACAAACTGATCCACATTCTATTTCATCTCCTCCCAAAGTAAAGGGTGTTACCTAAGAATAGAAATACCTATAAGGTAGGCTACGGATAACTCTTAAACCATGTAATTGGATGTTAAGAAATAAAACTATCAGCACTGTTCAACTATAAACATCCATGAGTACCACTCTCATTTTATGAACAAAAAGGAAGGTCAGACAAGCAGAATTTAGGTATTAAATTTATCTATAATGAATAAAGATAAACTATTCCTCAAAGGAAGCCAATATGTGTATCAAAGAGCTTCTACAGGGACATACTTTTTTAATATGATACAATAATCCTAAAATTTTGCTTTTCTTCTAGGAATATAGTATGATATTCCACCCTACACTCTCTCAAGCCCTTACCACAAGATCGGATATAGATTTATTCACCTTTCTACTATTTTACTTACTCATCATAAATTTCTTTTTGTAGATCTTTGGCAAAATCAAATAGCTGTGCAATTGAAAGCAGTGAAATGTGAAATTCTGCACCTAAATTTAAAAAGCAGGGGAATAATTAACAATTATTCATTGTAAATAAAACTTTTTTTTTTTTT